CAGGTGAGAGGTGTCCGGGAAGGGAGGCGGCGGGTGGTGCCCGCCCCCCTCCGCGGGCCCGGCGGGTGGGGAAGTCGGGGTTTGCCCCTCCCTGGCAGCCTTCGGGGGGCCTTGCGTCGGTGCCGCGCCCCGCACCGCTCCTGCGTGCCGGAGTAACGGTGCTGCCTCGTGGGAACAGCCTGGGCCGGCTGCCTGGGTCTCGCTCCGAGGAAGGGGCTCGCAGCCCCGCCGCCCTGGGCTCGCCAGGCCTCTGCGGCGCAGCACAGGGACGGGGGGACGTGTGTCTGGTGGCGCTGCTTTTGTTTGCTGCGGGTTTGTGGGGACGCGTTTGGCCCCTTGGCTGGGTCCTGTGGAAAGGGCTGTTTGCGCAGGTGTTAGTGCCTGAGTTGTGCCACTTGCAAATGGGAAATGCTACTGTGAGTGCATGAGCTGCTTCTTCAACTGCGTTGAATTTGCCAGTGAATTGGAAATTAGTTTTAAGTAGCTGAATAACTGGATAAACTGGGAAGAATAAGAGGCAATTCTTGGTGCGAAAGTTGTCTGAACTGCTTCTTGTGTCACAGATTGGAAGAAAGGAGCAAGTGTCCTGGTTTGTTTGCTTCTTGTGAGAATATGTAGGTGTTATTTCTACAATACTTGAAAAATGTATTTGAAGATGTTCATCTGAAGCTTCTAAGTCAGAATGAAATTAACTCCAGCCTTCCCAGTTCTATATATTCCCGAGGTTGTGAGCAATTTGAAGAGAGCTTCCTTGTTTGTTAAATCCATGCGTTCAATAGAAGTAAATTGGCTTTCCTGTATGTCTTGCTACATCAAGTCCACTGGTGGTAACAAATTCTACTTAGCTTTGCTGACTGGCTTTGTGCTCTCTAGAAATTTTACTGCTTAAGAAGTCTCAATAAGTTCTTCATTATTTCAGGAGTGTTATATAGAAATGGATCACTTTGCTGTAGTATGAACACTACATTCACAAAGTGTTCTAGGTAAGATGAAGGGCACAACTTTTGAAATTGATTTTGTTAGGATTTCTATAGGTCTGACTGATATTACCTCATTTCTGCGTTGTATTCTTCTAACTTTTTTGTGTGAAGTAATTAATTTTTGGTGCTTGCTTGTGGAGAGCTTGCTCAGAAAAGAGTGGTTTCCAATTCTATTAACTATGTCAAAATTAGGATCAAAGGGTTGAACTGGCACTGGGAGTTTACAGCAACTGGCGTTGCATTCATAGCAACTTGAACTATGAATAGGTATATTCCTGGTTAGTCATCAAAATTATTGTCAGACAATTGAAGGACCTTGGATAATTTCACTGAGCAGTCAGCCTTTCTCTTTTGAGGGCAAGAGTGGCCAAGACTGTGTATGCATTTTATTCTCCCTTACGATTTGCTGATTTGCATGATATATATAAAACTTGATTTTTATTACACTATAACTGAAGAATTTTGGAATGAGCTGGAACCTGATGAGAGTGCTTGATTTGGTAGCACTGCACCTGTTCTAATTTGTTATTTTTCATCAGCCTTGCCAAATTTTTCATGTGTTCCAGAAGGGGAAATACAGACTTAATTTTAGAGAAGAGAAAAGGTTACACAATGATATTTTTTTAGTTTTTGCCTCTCTGAGTAGCTCAGCCCTTTTGCTGAGTATTTTAATGTTATTGTGTATGAAACAATCAATATGATCTGGGACAAGATTCCACCTCGTGCTCAATTCCATAAAAGTCTGTTGTATTGCCCTTCCTCATTCCTTATGCTGCAATCTGTGATCACATCGCTTGGAAGTGAATGACTCATCTGTAAATCTTCTGAGATGTTACATTCACAGAGTACAAAAAAATGAAAAATAACCTTCCTTGAGCTGTCATAGTGCATGGTGAAGAAATGTTTTTCAAGGAATTTAGCTCACAAAGCAGTTTGCCATAGATTTCATTGAAAGCTCTTAGCACAATATGCTAATTTTTCCTTTAGCAGAATAAATATGCGTGGCTGTTTAATTTTCTTTAGACAGGGGAAAAATTTTGCACATTTCAAAATGAAAACATGTCTACTCTTTCAAAATAAGACCTATGATCATGATGTGTATTACATAAGAAATTTCCTTTAGCCGAATGTTTATTCTGCTAGGAAAATTTTAAAGGAATAGAAGATGCTCAGACAATACAATCAACAAGTATTACATTGTATGTTTGCATATTTCAAACATAGTTTAGAACAAAACACTTAAAGAATACTGGGATGACTCTCATAAACAAACATTAATTAAACTGGACATAAAAAGCAGAAGCCTATTGTGCATAAACTGATGTGAATGGTAAGAAGACCAGAGAAGCTCTAGTCCTTGCTTTGTGGCTTTCCTAGGAATGTGGGAACACTGTGTTTCCCACTTCATGCTAATAGATTACTCATGTTTCCTGTTCAAGGGAACACTTGTACAGGGGGTGTTGGATATAAACACATGCTGACAGCCAACAACAAATCCAGAATTATGTTTTGAAGAAGGAGAAAGGTGCTATCTGTCACCTACTTCTGTTTTTTAATATTTCATTTGACCCCCAAAATTGGAGAGGCCATGGGCCTTTTGAGCAGATATTCAAGGTAGCATGAGACTTTCTGTTGACATCAGCTGAATGTTGGTCATACCTAGAGAAAACTCTTGTGCCGCCTCCTTTTGTTGCTGCTTAGGACTGAGACTTAATCCTTCTTACTCAGGTACTAAAAAGGTTCTGCATCGAGTAGCAGCTGTCTTCTGTTGCTTCAGAAGGTTTATGACAACAGCAGGAAAAGCTAGAATTCTCTTGGAAATACAAAAAGTGATATTTTTCTAAACACACTCTTCAGTGTAATTTAATTGATTGTTATTCATTTTGTCTTCCTGTTCTCCTGAAACAGGTCTGGACGTCATTACATAGGAAGAGAAACGTCAGAAAATCCTGCAAATTTAAAATTTGGTTGTGAATTTTTAAATAAATCTGCATATTTTTCTGAAAATGAACAGCATGCATGTGGCTTTTAATCTAGAAATGTTAAACAATAAATTTTTTCTTTTTTTTAATTGCAGTTTAAATTGATTGTGGAAAATCCAAAAAAACCTGTTGCATCTGGACTTCAATTTACAGCTTTTGTGGAGTATTATCCTGAAAGTGAAGAAGATCTTAAAGACAGACTACTTCTTTTAGTAGACGATGACATTTTTCATATCCCCATTCTTGGGTATGATGGTCAAAAGTCCATACGCTGCTCTTTGTATTTGTAGTTCAATCTTGTGTGAAGTTTACTAACATGTCACGTGTGGCTATTTAATTAATCTGTCAATTGTGCTGAAAACAAATATTCTTCCCTTACAAAATTAGTTCTGGTTGCTGTTTTGTTTTGTTTGTTTTTTTTCAGAGCAGCACAAAGGTAAGAAGTAAATTAGAGTGATAACTCTCTAAGATCCTAGAGAGAGTTTGGATTTTTGTTTTTCCTTTATTCTAAGTTGGTTGAGATAATGTCAATACTTTCTAAGTCTGTATCAACATTAAACAAGTTAACATCTACTGTTAATGTCTTCCCTCCTCACTGAACCACTTGTATTTTATAATGTAAGTGGTTACTGAACCACTCTGATTTTATAATAATTGTCTGTGTTTGCAAAACTGGATTATAGGTTATATCTGTTGCCTAATTCTAAGAAGATAGCAAGTGTTTTAGAATAAGGTCACACATTGAAGGATCATTTTCATCCATATGTGTGTGCCTATCTCTCTGTTCGTTTATGGATATATGTATTTTATATTCTATATAGCATAAATATTGTTTGAAAAAAGTAAGCTTCCAAATATATTTTATCAGACATAGGCTAAGTGGTTATTAGAGGATGAGGGGTAGTTGCTTGAAGTACCTTTTTCTCCTTCGTCTATAAAGAGAAATTAGATTGGCAAACTTCTGTTTACTAGTCCAGTTTTTTTATTCTCTTATAATACAGTATTAAACAACGTTATTATGGTTTTCTTTACTGAACTTTAGAGAAATTTAAATGGAAAGCCCTAAATGCATTTCTTTGACTGAAAGGCAGGGAATGACTTTTCATAAGGTAATACAGAACATAGTAATTCAATATGCTTATTTTACTATTAAAATAGCAGTCTCTGAATAAGTGATTCCAACATCTATATTCTTAGAACAAATGGTTAGGGAGGAGGACTTGAATTTATTTATTTGTAAACTTTTTCTTTAAAATTGTGTATCTTTGTTTTTAATTTTTCATGTTTAGTATTGAATTTAATTTTTTATTTTTAATGTTTTGAAAATTTTTAGTAGGGTAGTATTGTAAAGTTAAGAGTGCTTAGGATTATTTGATTATGTTGTGGTTTTTTACTTTCTGTTTAAAAGTGTATGCCTTTAAAAAATATTTTTAATAACATTAAATTATTTCTACTCATGTATCAGTAGTAACGTAGTGAACAGTGATACCAATTTTCCTAAACTGTCAACAGTTGAAATAAGTGACTTTAAAAATGAAGGCTGCCCTTAGATTTACCAAGCTTGGCCATGGAGATTTATTTTTCTTCTCCATTTAGTCTATACTGCAAGTAATGCAGATAAGGAGGTGCAATTGTTCCTGTATGTTCCTATTTGTGGTTAAGAAGAGATAAACTGCTGTGCTGATGTAAAATACCAGTTGTTTTCAAAAACAATTTTATGTGAGATCAGAGATATGATTGTATAAGAAAAAAGTACAAGTTTCTTGAAGAGAGTGTGATCTTTTCATTATTTCTAAGCAGTTCCCAATACAGTGATGCCATCATGCTGGCTGAGCCTCTTAAATAATAAAAATAACTTGTGTTATTATCCACTTTTATCCATTACAAGACATGTTGAAGCTTCATCAAGTGTCTGTGAAAGAAGACTGTAAATTGAAACTGGCATGCATGTTTTCTTTCTGCTTCTAGTTCAGGCAGCTGATAATGAAATATGGTGAATGTTAATTTTGGCCTTATCTTGTGATGTGATTAACTCAAGATAGTTTTATTTGAAGTTCTTTGTACTACAGTAAAGCATTTAAAATTACATGGAAGTGTATACATTCCATTTCAACTAACTGTTTAAAGCGATATTGTTTTTAATTGTCATTAAAGTGAACAGCGTGATATATAGCGTGATAGATCTTTTTTACATTTTATCTGTGTACACTATAGTGTTGAAGTGAGTTGCATAAACACTGTTAGGAGAACTAGGAGAAAATAACTCTTTCATTAGAGTGCTTATTTGATTTTCTTTAAAAATTCAAAAGTATTTTTAAGCTTTGCGACAATATAACCATGTATTTTCTTTGCAGACTAGTTCCATGCTGTTACCTGGAAATTGACTCAGAAATTAATTTTGATGCAGTGATTGCAAACAGTAAAATAATTAGTAAAGAGATTAGTATTGCTAACCTTGGATCATCTCCAGGTAAATATTTAGTATGCATTAAATTATAAATATATTTTATTTTCTTCAAAAATGTAATTTTATGCAAGTTAACACTTCAGTGGCCAAGTAGAAATAACCTGAAGTTCTGGATTATCCAGATCATGAGTATTGTAGCTAAAGGTTCTGTAAACAGCCCATTACTTCTGTAGGCAGTAGTATGTTTTTGCTTAGGGAAGAAAAAATAATTTAGAACTTTGCCAAGTTTTAGGAGTTCTTTAGTTTTGATTCCTATCCGGGAGATGTAAAAATAGCAGTTGAATGTTGTCTTCGTATACCCAACACAAATAGTAGTAAATCATATTTGCTCTTGCTTTATCTTTGTGATTTTGTAACCCCAATAGCTCTCTATTATATATACAGCTACAAGCTCCCTGTACTTTCAGAGTTAAAGTCCTCTAGAATGGGATTGAACTGTATTTCTTACAAGAAGATAAAGAAGTAATTTTATCTTGCTGCAATAGCTTTTGACATTATACACACAACTTTCAAAACAAGCACATCCTTCAACTTCTGTGCGGGTCCTTTCCAAGGACTGTAAGAAACATGGAGAATGAAGCATAATAATCTTTACATGATCTAACTAACTATTTGACTACCCTTTCTGCTGGATAAAGCTGCAGACGCTTTTCTCCAGAAGTAGAGTGGTATCAATGCTCAGCTGCAAACAACAAATTTCAGGCTGTTGATTATTTTTGTTATTCACTAGTGCAGTTTATTGTAGCACATATTATCTTTATTTGCATTAGGCCAAGGCTGTGTGAACATTTGCGTAATAGATTTCCACCAGGAATATTGTACCAAGAGAAAATACAGGATTGTAGAAACACATAGATGGGTTGCAGTATTAAAAAAAATTAAAAATCAAATGTCTGTCTATTTAGAACTTCTTTTTTTTTTTTTTTCCCAAAAAAGCAAGGGAAAAATTGGGGTTTTGTAGCTAGCTCAATTCAAAGATGTAGTATATGTAGTTTGTCATTGGCTCTTACTCATACATACTAACTTCTTTGTTTGCAGAATTAGATAAAGGAAATGAAATAACCTGCATAACATATGCATCTACAACTCACTTGCATGATTTGAAATTTCGCATGTTGTATAGGAACCATTTCTAGTTATAAACCCTGTTGCATGATGAATGTGGGCATTATGGTGGAGTTTTGCAGAATAGGACCCAGGCAAAATTAGAATTAAAGTGGTGGTTAGTGAAGCACATCTTGAGGCAAAGGAGTAGCTGCTGAATCTATGTTTCTGAAGGCTCTGTAAATTGTAATACAGCAGACTGCACCAACAGGCAGCACGTGGACTGTATCAGCAGGGTGAGTGGCTGTATGCTGGCCTGTGACTCAAGGAATGTATTTCACAGGTTACCCTTTGCACAAAACGAGTCCTTTGTTCTTCCTTCTGATCTCATATCTATTTTCCAAGGTCAAAAAGTGCATTATTCCTGCAACATTTGAAATGATTCCTTGCTGACTATGATATAACGATAAATAATTAGTGCTGCTGTACACACTAATAAACAATATTTTTTTCACATTTAAAAATATTTTTTATAACCTAGAAATATTCACTGTGCTCTACTGCAATAAATTGTGTTCTGCACATACTAAATGATGGAAACTACTGTTAGTTGCAATGTGCACTAAACTTTCTGGCTATGGGAACTTCTTAGAGCTCTGTATGAAGTATCCCATAACTTACAAAATGTTATTTGGAGCTGATTTACGAGATACTCACTTTTGTCTGGAATGTTTGGAATGTAATATTTAAATAAACCCTGGAAATAATTATCTACTATGTGTTAGAAATAGTTTTGAAAAAGATTAGCTCTGCATTTCCTGTTCCATAGGAAAAAGTACTGCTTGTGAATACCTGTGTTAGGTGTTTTGTAATTCCAAATGTGAAATAGAAAAATGTGTGTAACGTTCTGTTTATTATTCTGTTTCTTTTAGGTACATTTAAAATATCATATGATGGGGATGTCCTGCTTAACATTGAACCTACAAGTGGAGTGGTAGAGCCAGAGTCTAGAAAGACCATTAAAGTAGATATCTGCACAGATGTACCCAGAGTCATCAAAGAAGTGATAGAGTGAGTGTATGACTGAAGAACTCCAGCTCTATGAATTATATTTTTGTCTGTTATTAGTTCCAGTTTTTGTTATGAACTTTTATTTGCAATATTTAAGCTCCTAGGTATCAGTTGCTATCTTATACATTTATTTTTATTCAGTTGATTTGGTGATTATATTCTCTTCATGGAACAGTGATGTGTAAGTTGCGTACTTATCTGTTTCATTAAAGATCTCTCATAAGCCATAATGATATGGGATATTTGCACATTTCTCAGTGCATGACTAACCAAGAACATTTGTATCTGTCACCTTTCTGTATATCCTGTTTTCCTTATTTTTTTTAGCTTCTGTAACTTTGATATTTTTCATTTGGCTCTGTGTGTTTCAAGAGTCTCAGAAACATTATGTTCATTATGTTCTTTGGTGTATTTTATTTTAAATGGAGGATATGTATTTTCAACCACCAACTCTTTTCAGAACAGACTATTTTTAAATACCTACCTTGTCTTTTTTGAAATAGTGAATATAGGTGTTTTAGGAAATGCCAGAATCTGAAAGTGGATACCAACCCGGAAAGTTCTTTTCAATCCTGTTTTCTGTTAATAGTGAATAGAACAAGGTTACTTTTTTACTTTGGGGAGGAAGGGGGGTGTTTCCTGTTTTTAATTATCAATTCAATAACTTTAAAAATAGAAAATAATTAATTTTCAAATTATTAGGTGTATTACCTAAAGTTTAGTTCTTCCTGTTCTTGCTTTTGTAGCCTGTTGGAAAATGACATGAAATGAAAGGAGAAAAAATTTGTTAGACTGTCAGGGAAAATAATATCTGTGTTTTGCCTCACACTTATACCTTCTTTCTTATGGTGTTTTTCTTGGTTACTGAGTGTCAGCCTTTCAGTTGTGAAGCATCATACTTTCTGCCTTCCCTTTACTAACCAGGCTACCACCACTATTTTATTCACCCCATCTGGGTTAAAAGTCTATTGTTGCCTGCAGCCTAGTATGCAGTTTATCTATTAAACTGAAAAGCATAACCACACAAGCTCAGATCTCATCATTCACCCATTCCCTGCCTTAAATTCTTCATAATTCTGTCAGTGAATTTACCATTTCTTAGTAGTCATTGCCATATTCTTTAGACTAAACAAAATCTTTAGTTTCCTTGTCAAGCTTTGCACAAATACATAAACCTATGTATATGTGTATATGTATTGTTATGCAAATAGAGTATTATTGAAAGTCTTACAGTGGGCTTTTGAATTTGAGAAATAGTACCATTTTGGTGAAAACACCCTGCTTGTTTCAATTTGTCTCGTCCTCTAGAAGTTTTTTTCTATGCATAAACAAAACTTTTTTCAGAGGAATCTACTCTTATACTTTTTTTGAGATTTCTTTTCTGTCTCAGAGAATCCCATAATCATGCTTCAGAAACTGAGCAATGAAATTGAATGTTTGAGATCCTCTCCCAGATCCCTTCTGTAGTTATGTAGTTATGTGACTATTCAAAACAAAGATTTTTAAAAATTATTTTATTTCCAGCTTAGCAGCCATTCAAAAAGATAGTTAACTCATTTTGACAATGTTACAGCATTAAATTTGATTCTTTTTGGCAAAAAGAACAAATAATCTTTGTTCTGGTAGAATTCCAATAAATCTCAATCTCTATATGGTCCTTTTGGTGTTTTGTGATATCATCAGTATCAAGCATTCAGGCAGGAACAGCAGAAGTTCGTTTATGCTTATTCAGATGAACTCCTAGCTCCAACTGCCTATGAGCAAATTACTAAGTATATGCCAAAACTGGTATCTAGATACAAAGATTCTCAGAAATAAGAACAGTATATTCTTTTGAGATGTCATTCCTATTGTTTCAAACATTAAAAAAGGGAAAAAAATTAAAAAGCTACCCAAAACTCCACCATGTCACGTGTCATTCTTCCTGATTGCTAATATACCTGTAAGACATTGCATTGCCAAGCACACTAATTATTTTTTTCTAATTCCCCCTCTCTGCTGTTTAGTTCATCTACGGAAAGCCAGTGATTAAGTGCTCTGATTTGGTTCAGTTTTGTGTAGGTTGTAATATAAAGCAAGCAGATTATTTCTAACACTTTTCTACATTAAGTATTGCTGCTTGCGACTTTTACTGACAGAGTGGAGTTGGAAGGTCATGGCTGCACTGAAGTATGGATCAAAGGTGTTGTGGTTAAACAAGTTCTCAAAGTTCTGGGAGTGTCTTCTGGAAATATAGTGGAATGCATTAACTTCGGACCAGTTTACTTCGGGTCTTCAAAGACTGAACAAGTATCTTTATACAATGAAAGTCCTCAGTGTATCGATTGGGTAGCAGTACTTGAAGACAATGCCATTGGAGGAGAGATGGTAAGAAGCTGTTCTGATTTTGATTTTAGTTGAAAACTTGTTTTCATTTCTGCTCTTGCATTTCTACTATAATTTAACCCTGGAACTAAGTTTTTCAGTTACTTCTGTTTCACAGTAAGACATCTTAATATTAACAATGTTAGATGTGTTCCCTCATGTTTTTTGATGCCTTTTGGGTTTTTGAGTGGTTTTGTTTCACCTACTGACTTTCTCATTCGGTAGGAGTGATCAACATATATTTTGGTATTCTAAGATGTTAACTATCAGTGGCTTCACGTGTTTTTCTCACATAGTGAAATCATTATCATTTGAATGAGCTACATCTTTGAAAAAGGGAATTCAAAACATTAACAAGAAACCAATGTTTAAAAATTAGGTTAGGTAGCCATGGGATAGATAACTATGTCAGTGCTATTACTTCAGTTCTGTCTTTCTACTTGTATGTCTAGGAAAAAAAACCCAAACCAAACACAGAAGGGAAAGCAGAACAGGCTGAACTATTCAACTTTTTTTTTTTTTTTTTTTAGGGAACAGATCTTCAGAGGAGTGCAGATGCTGTTTTACAAGACTTAAGCCTCAAAAACAAAACAGGAGATGTAGATGTTTGCACCTTGATCTTTTGCATCCCTAATCAAGGAACCTTGCTACCTTATGAGAAATCTTTGGTTACATTGTGCTTTAGTCCGAAGTGAGTGAGTGGTCCAAATTAGACACACATATAACTTGATTGGTCTAAACTATTCTTTAAAGAGCTGTGTTAGAATAATTTTAATGTGTCTGCAGTTTGCTTTCTGAACAGCTTCTTGTGTATTTATGTGTTAAAAGGAATTGCTTGGCATGATACTACAAAAAGCAAAGTCTGAAGTGATTATGTGGAAGATGTTTTATAATACGTTAAGGATATATTTGAACCAAAAATTGGTTAAACTTGTTTTGTAAGAAGGAGAATTTTATTATATTTTGCCAAGAAAACCAATCACAGCTCCCATTAAATATGGTTAAACTCTAAAGGTTTTTGAGAAAGTTCTACAGTGTTAAATTAAATGCCTTTTGAATGACTGAAGATTTATTTTGTGAAGATATAGCCTATGTGCAGCATTATGAAAGAATATATATATATATATTTCATCATCAAGGGCCTGAAACATTTTGGAGAGCTTTCATTCCATTAAAAAAGAAAAAAGTAAGCATAAAGGAACATATCTTCTTTAGATAAGGAAAATAAAAAGAAAATGCACTTTTTCCATTTTCCCTTACTTGAACTCTAATTATAAGTTGTTATTATTATGTGTGTAATTTTAATTTAGAAAACTGTTGTAGGCTAGGAGAGATATCAAATAACTACTATAATAAGACTACAGATATTGTTGAGCTTGAATTTGTTACTGTTCCATTTTCTGAAAGGAATTTTAGAAGTCTGAGTGGGTGGTGAATATTAAGCCTTTATTTTTTTTGTGGGTTAGGGTTTGATATTGGGTTTTTCCCCTCCCATCTTATAATTAGAGATTGTGACTCTTACAGAAAATTTGAAACGGACTTCGAAGTGAATGACTCATCACTGAAGCAAGACTATGTACTGTTTCTGAGATTTGAAACCGTTGGGTGTAAAGATGATTATCTGCAGGCCCTCAGTGATGGTGATGCCACAGCAATCACAAGTAGGTTATCAGAAATGTATAGACACCATCAGACACTTATATATGGATGATAAAACTGCCAATTTTTTAATTGAAAAAAACCCAAACTTAATTGCCTTAGCAGTTTTATGGGAAACCTCTGCTTATTGTATTTATGGCAATACATCTCTAATGCTTTAGAACCAAAACCTCTTTGAACAGTGAGTGGAAAGAAGGAGGGAGTCATATGTGTCATGAACACACCTGCCAGTAGTGAATACCTAGAACTTAATTATAAATTTGAAGGTTTGGAGGACAAAAAAACCCCAGCCACTTGAAGGTCACCAGCACTTTGGTAGTACCAGTTTTGTACATTTTCTAGTGAAAATTTGTTGGCCCTCAACTTCCTTGATGAGGGAATATGTTATCTAACAGCCATTATAAGTAAGCATGTCTGTGTTAAGTTTATAGAAAATTGCATTATAAATCAAATTGTATTACAGTATTGTTTTGTTTTTGCAAGTATACTACTATGACTTTTCTGTTTGTAAGATAATAGGTGTGTCAAGTTTTTTGTTTGTTATATTTTGTGTTTGTCTAACGCAGAGAATCATCATCACACAGAGTTAGCTTTGACAGGTTCTGGGCTTCCTGTCCTGCTAACTTTTAATCCAGGACCAGTTATTAAGTTTATGGACTGTTTCATGGGTGAACAAACACAAGTTCTATGCACACTCAAAAATGAATCTGAGTTTCTTCCAGTAACATTCAGCTTCCAGAAGACTGCTCATTTTAATATTTCTCCTGAAAAAGGAAAAATTAAAAAAAAATCTGCAAAGGTAATTGCGTCATTCCTTTTGATTATGTAGTTAAGAAGATTACTTTAGGGTTGCCAGCAATTGAATTTATTTAAAGTAAAGCAGAACAATTGCATTTCAGTAGCCATGATGTTTAATATCAGCCAAATATATTCTTTTTTTTCTCCTGGTGTATAATGTTTTAATGCCTTTCCTGCTTCCAGAAAGCAACAAGTATTGTTTTAAATTTGGAAAAAATAATTGTAGTACTAAAGAAACTTTATCCAGGTTTTGCTTGGCTTTATATTTTTTTATATTTTATTGCCTTGAGCAGACTGATTTATACCCAGATCTTTGTGGAATCCTTTTAATTTTTTTCATTTATTTAATTTATTTCAGTAAATCACAAAGACTTGAGTAGTGGAACCTTTTTTTTTAATGGAAGAAACTTTGCCAAATTTAAGTAACATTTATAATATCCCAAACCTGTAACTCAGGGCACAAGGGAGCATGATTTGTCCCAGAAATGAGGAAGTGAGACTTTTTTTGGTGTTCTAATGTGTAGCAGTTTTATATTTCTTTATATTGCAAATTTATGACTGGCAGTTGGCATATTCTAAAAACCCAGTTTTCAATACCTGTCTTAGAAATAAGTTTGGAGAAAAGTGATTCAATGAAATAGAGAATTACACAAAACTTTTCACTTTGTTTTTCTGCCTCATGTGTCTCATAATCACTTTTCTTTTCCAGGATGTGATATTTTCATTTTCTCCACATCAGATAGGAATAATGAAAGTGAAGCAAGTTGTCGATATCATGGATACAGGAATAGAGAAAAATAATTCACAGGTTTCAAAACTGAAATCTTTTCAGCAAGTGTATTTGAACTTTATTGGTGTGTGCAAATCTAAACGAAAAAACATTCTATTCAAAATTAATCCTGGTAAGATGCTAAATACATAAGTGACAAGTGATAAAATGTCTTAAAAGTACATTTTTAATATTTTAAAAGAGAATTTTGAAGTATTTTGATTTTATTTTTAAAAAATAGCATCTCTTTGGGAGCTGAGAGAATGCTTAATGGTATGATATACACCCATAAGAGGATAAAACTATGGCAAAAGTAATGGTTAACCCCCTTCATATTTTAAGAAAACCTGAACTATTAAAAAGTATTTTTTCATCATATGATTATTTAACTTGTATAAATCAGAAAATAAGAGCTTCAGTTTTTTGCAGCAATGCCATTACACAGTGTCAATATGTTTCAGTTGTAAGAGATGGGTAAAGCACAAAAATAAGTCGGGAAAGATAACAGGGTATTCTTTATTCATCGAAAGTTACTACTGCCAGATGATTTGCCAGTTAATAGAACCTGCTACCTGTCCTGTATCCATTGATTGTTCCCATCCTATGAAGCTTATGCTAACCTAAAGAATCTTTCAGGATATGCACTAATTAGTCTCTTAACTTGTTCCTTGTGTTCCTAACGTGTCTCATGAACTACTTTACAGTACATTTACTAACCCTGTTACCAAATTTCAAAACCAGCCATGGGAAATGTAGCTTTTTCATGCATCAAATATGCCCTGGCCTCTGCAGGTATTAGTGCAACAGGGCTGTCCTGATCATTGGTGCATCTACTTTCTGTGTGTAGATAGGAAAGGGAGCTTGAATACTCTTTAAATGACTGTTGCCCACTTGAAGATGGGATATTAGGAAAAAATTATCAAAAGTGTTGTCAAGCACTTGGAACCATCTGCCCAGGAATGTGGTTGAGTCACCATCCCTGGAGGTAGATATGGTGATTAGGGACATTGTTTAGTGGTGGACTTGACAGTGCTGGGTTAACTGTTAAACTTGATCATCTTAAAGGTCTTTTCCAACCAAAACAATTCTATGATTCAGATGGTATAAGATGTACTCACTAATAAAAAAAAAAAGAGGGCAATACCCATTTTTGGGAGCCTACAGGAAAGCTGGGGAGGGTCTTTTCACAGGGGCTTGAAGTGAGAGGACGAAGGGTAATGGTTTTAAGCTGAAAGAAGAGAGATTTAGGTTAGAGATCAGGTGTAAATTCTTCAGTGTAAAGGTGGTAAGACACTGGAACAGGCTGCCCAGAGATGTTGTGGGGGGTCCATGCCTGGAGGTATTCAAGGGCAGGTTGGATGGGGCTCTGAGCAGCCTGTTCTAGTGGGAGGTGTTCCTGCCCCTGCAGGGGAGTTGGAACTCGATGATTTAAGGTCCCTTCCAACTCAAAAAATTCTGTGATTCTGAGATTTTTTTTCAAAGAGAGCATTTTGGGAAAGTAAAAAGGGAAGTAGAAAGTTACTGCTTTGCTTTGGAAAACGCTGTCCATTCTACAAATATCAAAATGGTTTACAAGAAGGTATTTCAAATCCAGGGCAAACAAGAATTGATGAGAAACTAGTTTTGCAGTTTCTGGGTTCTATTGTTGAAATCCAGAACCTTTGCAGGTTGTTTTTTTTTTTTCCTTCAAAAACATGATTAAAATATGTTTGTATGGATCAAAGACTTAATGTAGTATATAAATTTTGTCACCTCTTCTAAATGCTCTTGTTTACCTTTTGCTCTATTAATGTTCCTTTTCTGCTCCTGTCTGCACGTTTATAAAGAGCTTATGAGTGGTATCTGCACTCTATAGGCTACTGATGTCTGTGTTTTGCTTTTAAGCTTCACTGAAGTGTGGAGGAAAAGTGAGTTTTTTCAGATCCTTCTATAAATGAGTTCTATGTCTTTCTGTTTTCCTAGTCTCTGTGGATGAGTATATGTACTTATCTCCCTGTATTCTCTGAAGAGGGGAAGGGACCTGAAAGAAGCTTCTTTCAATCTGTGCCTCCCCGAGCTGTGGAAGTTTTAGTCACTCCTCTAATTTGGAGGATGGAAAGTAGGGGTTTCCTTGGTAGTAATTTTTAGTAGAACTACAGCAGATAAAACCAATATGTTTAATGTATCTGGAATTTTTGCAGGTGAGGGTGGAAGGAGCAGTTGAAGAATAGATTGATGTATTTAGTTATTTATTTCTTCATTTATAGTACATCTTTAAATGTATATTTTTATGTAAGGAGAGGTGAGAAAATGCATAGCCTAATTTCTGAAATAATTATTCTCATTATTGTGTATGTGCTTTTCTAAAACTAGAGTGAAAAAGATCTGAGCTCTCTCTCTTGTGGTAGCTTGGGAGTTCTTTGTTAAAAATCATGCCTGTGTGCAGCAGCCCTTAAGGCAAGCTTCAGGAGAGTATAGTAACAGGCAGCTCTGGGTGTTCAGTTACTTGCATGTCGAAGACAAAGCATCACAGCTGGATATAGTAATAGTGGTTTGGGATCTTGTATTATCCTGTGCTCTAGGCCATAGAAGGTGTTTTGCTGATAGAATGGTCTGATTGCCATCATCTCTTTTGTCTGAGAAAAGCATAATGGGATGAGTGCCTGGTTGTTGGGTTACTGTATAAACGAAGAAGCAAAGTATAAGTTATTAAACAATTTTCTAGTACTTTCAATTTTGTTTAAAAAGTATAAATATATGTAATGTTTCATTTTAATTTGAAGGTATAACACCAATGATTTCCAATGCAACTGGACAGTTTGTAGCTGATAGCACAGGACAGAGCTCTGATAAAGCACCTGTGGCATTACTTCAATCAGCCCAAACACAAATTCACACTCACCGGATAAACAGGAATTGTAAGGATGATGCACTTATAGCTTTTCCTAATGACCGTGCAGCCAGCATTAGGCCTAGTGAATGGAATAAAAAGTACAGGTAAAAATTCCACAAATATCATATTTAAAAATACATTTTATACATTTTGTATAGTAGATCAAGATTAGTTACTCATATGAGAGTTTACTGTGTTTAATTTTTCAGGCTGAGAGTTCTTTAAAATTAATAGCATTTTACTTAACCTTTTGCACATAAACTTCTTGAATTACTTATGTGAAACTACAAACGTAGCTATTACAGTTTCAATATTTCTTTTTTATGGTTGCCTTTACAAGGTCAAATATTAAAAATTAGATATGATAAAAAGTTTGCAATAAAATATATATGTAGCAAATACAATATGTTTTCATTCTAACAAGACCCAGAATCTTTTTATGCATGTAGTGAAACTACAATTCTCTTCAAATCTTTAGGACTATTTTCACAAAGACTGGGAGATATAACTATATAGATCCAGAGTTTTGTTATACTGACTGTGAACGACTTTCTAAAGAAGCACATGAGGAATACTACGCAGACTTCATTTCTAGTTTAAGACAGCGTCGTTTACAGAAAGAAGGTGTTAGGTAAGACGGGATTTAAAGGAGAAGTGAATACTTAAGGCTCACCTGAAAAATGTGTGTTTAGACATTCAGAATTAACTTAGTGGCACCAATCATATTCCTGAATTTGTCCCATGATGAAATGCTTTGTGGTTGTGGGACCTTAATTTATAATGCCTTCAAAACTTGTTTTGTGCAAATGTTCATTTAGACATTTAGAGCTTGCTTTCTGGGAAAAATGTCAGAGAGGCATGGAACTTGAAATTAAACTTAAAATAAACTTAAAATAAGATGCCCAGTTTTAAAAAGACTTGGTTATGGTTAATAGGAAAAAAACAGCAATTATTGTCTTGGATTCTCTTTTCTTTTTATATAATACATTATCTATAATAAAAACTGGTATGCCTAGCTGACCCAAAGTAATGGATTAAGTACGTAACTTATTATAAAATTTGTGGAATTTAGCAGATAAAATTCAAGGTTTGTATTGGTCTTCTAGCCTTATCTTAGAGTAAATTCTCAATTTATGAATTTGTGTATTTAGTTGGTGTGCTGTGGAGCAAAGTAATGGAAAAGAAGAACTGACAGCTCTGCTACATTAAAAAGTTTATTAAAAATAACAAAAAAAAAGCCTGTAAAGCTTCTAAAACAACATAATTAATACCTTAAAATTGTTCAGTTTGCAGGAACCATTATTTAAAAATTAATCCTGCCAGTGTATTATTCTTTTAATCTTAGTTTACCATGCTCTGTGTGCATAAACAACATGATTTGGCCAAGGTCTGCAGAGCTGGATTTATTTTATTTTTATGCATGCTCATGATATATGGTTTTCTTGAAAGAAACTGGTGTTATGTAGTGGGTGAACTGTTGTTTATGTGACCATAACTTAAATATTCAAGGTATATTGCAAGAGCAGCAAGAACAGAAAGAAAAATTTCACAGTCATCAGATAAATTTCACTTTTACTGCCAAACATAGTAATGTTTTTCTGAGTACTTGATACGAAACATCTGTGTAAGATCTCTGGAAGTTTCAGATCTCTTGGTTGCAGGGGAAATGGATTGAGTGGAATTGAACTTTGACCAAGAAAAGTTAATTGCTCTGAAAATTAGGTTGTAAGTTGTCCAGTTCAGACATATATAACTGAAGGATCTTTGTAATATTGCCATTTGCTAATTTTTAAGTGCTTGACTTTGCAGCTTAATTGTTCTCAAGGAGGTATTTTAGGTATTTTATAAAATGTTTATATTTGGTAGCCATAATGCTTGTAACCTATTTAGCTAAGCAATTGCTACAAATTGCAACAGATGTTCATCCTTGCCTCAACAATACAATTAAAGACTTTTTCAAGGTATTTTCTGTACTTTAGGGTTTTTTAAATAATGAAATATTCCTACTTAAACTACTATTTGTTGTCTTTAAAAATCTTAAATAGTTTAATGTATAGAACATGAAATGCTCAAGGCTCTATCCATAATTTTTTTTTTTTTTTTTTTGCCTCCCCTGTAGGCAGTTTTATATTTATAATAATTCTGTGAGCATAGGCCTTAAACCAGCTGAAGGGCTTATGTCACCAAAGCTCTCAATCACAAATCTTGAAAAGGAGAAGCTACAATTAAAAATGCTTCCTAGAGATAAGAATTGCCTATTAACAAGTGAAAAACTGTCAGGAGCTGGTTATAAATCTTCAATCAAAGGAGTAAGTTAAATGCTTGAGTAGTAATATAAGCATAATATGTTTACCATGTTAAAAAACACATCAGAATCACGGCTTTGTTCTGAGAAGGTGTCTTATGCTCATCACAGATTTGGAGTAGACTCAGTGCTATGCCATCTTCTACCCAAGAGAAGAAAGATTGTAGTCTAACTTTGACACCCAAACAGCTTCATCAAATACTAATTGGTAAGATTTTAAATTTGATTACTAAACTGATATAATTTTTACAAAGGCACTTACTTATAGTAACACAATTTATGTTCATAAATGTTTACCCTAGAAAAATGTCTTAAATTGGTGTCAGCTTGATATTTCATGCAATGCTTAACTACAGCTTTGTACTACACAGAAAATACTGAGATATGAAGAAATATGAATATGTAAAAGGAGAGCTTGCTTTAAAATCTGCTCATACTACAGCTTATTATAGAGAAATCACTACAGCATAGTATGAGGGTTGTTTATATAATTATGCCTTGGTATTGGGTAGTATCTGGACCACCATGAATATCAGCAAGATTCCTGGGAATATTCAGAATGTTTCTGGGAATTAACAGTAAACAGTGATAATCTAGAAAAGTAAAACTTGCTCAGGATCTTCCTTCAAAGTAGTTTCAGTGGAATGCTCTATGATAGGGAGTAAGACTTTCCAAAGTCTGTGAGGGACTCATCTATTATCAACACTTGTTACTGAAACTGGTCTCTTATAAATTGAATTTTGTCAGTAAGATTCTTTAGGAGCAAAGGGAAAATTTTCAGTACTTTCTAGACTTTTTTTTTTCCCTATTTTCAGTGAAGCCAGAATTTGAACAGTGTAGCTGTGTATACTTGGGAAAGGTAGAATAAGATAAATATATTAATACAAAAAATACTTAGAATTTTGTAAGATGTTTGATTAGTGCCATGAGCACTAAAATTTGCAGACCAGAATAAAAACTGGTGACAGCAGTAAAAAAAGTGTTGAGATAAAAAAAGTGTTGAGATATTGCTGTCACCATCAAATTACATGCATTATTAAACTGAATGGTCACACATCAGGAAGCAAAAAAGAGGTTAAGTATATAAAATCTCAGATAATTTCTGCTTGTATAGTAATTAAAATATCTGATTAATAAAAGGAAATATGGTTATTAAGAATGCCTTTTGTAAAAAGCACATTGCTTTTCCTATTTTAAGAATATGGACAGAATTAAGAAAAAATGTTGGTGTTGGCTTTTGAGTTGTACTACTGAAAACATTCACAGAACAGGTGTGGCATTTACTTCCAAATTTTAGTGTGAATTTGTTTTGCTACAGGATTTTCCTAGCTAACTAATCCTGTAATTTGAAGAACTAAAATGTTTTGATTGTGATGTTTTAGTAGTTATGCTTCCTTACATTAACTCTTTAATGTTAAATATCTTATTATATATTCCAGGTCCTTCTACTATAGATTTTGGTGATGTTTGTGTACGTTCTCCAACAACCAGAAAACTGCACATCATCAATAACTTGTTAGTTAATATATGGATACAAATTGAGATTGAAATTGATGAATTGCAGCAGACAGGTCCGTTATCTCAGGTGGTGCCTCCTCTTACAAAGACAGATATTCCAATTGTATTTGAGACAAACAGTCTTGGAATGTTTAAAAGGTAAGGCTTATTCGTCTTGATTTATGTGTTTCCTTTGCAGTAGTAAAATGAAAAAATAAAATCACGTAGCTGGTTTAAACTCACTGTAAGTTTTAATGGTGTAGTCTCATTTGGAGTGGTGCTGAAATAATTAACATAGTTTTATGTTGCAAAATTTTGCTAGTATATTAATGTTTCTTAGGACTTAAAAAAAAAAAAAAGCAACAACACATTGAACTGTCAAAAGCCCACATGGCCAGGGGTTAATCAGGGAAAAAAGTTTGCCATTACAGTGTATTTGTTAGGGGACATTTTAAGGAAAATACGGTGCTCGTTCTGGCATAGGTTTGCATCACTGCACCTGAGCTCGCATCTTGTGATGCACCTTAGAGGCAAACTGTTTTCTGGCATTCTGGTAGGGAGATGGAACTCTCACTTTACTAATGCTGCAAAAATGGCTGTATGAGGCTGATCATTCTTTGGGATGATCTTCACCTTTGCCATGATTTAAGTTGTGTGCAAAACAATTAAAAATTGCTTTCTCTTGTCAGTCGTAATTGTGTGTTCACAGTCAATTTTATTTTCTTGCTAATGGTCACATTTCACATGTACTTGACTAAAACATAATAAATATAAAAGTACATATTTTTCAATATTTTTATGTATTACAGGTCTTTCAATTACACAATAAACAACCAACACGCTGGGCATGTGCTGGCAGTTGCAAAAGCAGTATCTGTTGAACTGGAGCTGTCTGCAAGGGAACTCGTCTTAAATCCTATTCCTGGTTACCTAGCAGAGACAGAATTTAGAACAACTGTCACAGTGTACAATCATAGAAATGGTCCTGCTGAGTTTACCTGGAACCCTGTAATTACAGATGGAGGAACTGCATTTTCTATACAGCCAGCCAGAGGTATACTATGGAAGAACAGTATGCGTGCACATATCTTAAATGTCAATAATCTTAAATAAGGCAAATATTTAGCTGGTGCTATAAACTATGTTTTTTTATTTGGGTCAGTATCAGTGTATCCCAAAAGTAGTATCAGATCAGAGTATTAATACCACAGCAGCACTCCCTGTATAAGCTCCATCCTGAGTGCATACTCAGTTGACATTACACAGTTCAAACAAGATTTGCAGGATACTAATAAACAGTTTATGCAATTGTCATAAGAATTCAGAACCTAATTTTACTTTCTACAGAATACTGCTCAACACCTTCGAAAAGTAGGCTTAGTCTTCAGTAATAGAAGGTAATTTCACTTTAATGGGCTTATGTTATTTCTAATTATATAATGTAACTTCATAATTGTGCATGTGTATGCTGTAGCCTATAAATTATGAACATTTTTCTAGGCTTTCTGGAGGCCTACAGAGATTTGGAGTGTGAAGTTGTTTGGCACCCACGGTTCAGCTCTCCAAAGGCAGCAGAATTCAACTTATGTGTGCGTAAAGGAAACACAATTAAGTTGAAATGTTTTGCAAAGGTAACAATTCATACAGCAGATTTAGAGAAGCAAAATGTGTGGTTATTTTAAACAAGTAATTTCTTAAATGTATTTCTGTTATCACATATTCAGAAAACTATTTTTAATTTTACATGACTTAGATTTGACATGTTTATCAAAAGAATATTGCTTTAAAGATTATGACACGATGAAGGTAAGACAGAGTATTTGCCTTTTCCTTCCTTTCAATTATATACTTCCTTTGACATAACAACTTAGTGATCCTTACATATTAAGTGATAATTGTTCTTCTTAACTCCCTTAGTTTACCTAAACAAAGATTGAGAGGTGGTAGTTCTTTAGACAGATATTAAAGGTATAAAAATCTCTCTATATGTGTGAAGTTATCTTTGAGAGCTTCAGGGCAACAACAGGCTGCAATGTAATTTTGTTTTGTTATTTGAACATGCTATATGGTAATTTGAAAAGCAGTGTTTTGGATAGTCTGCACAGTGGAATTCAGCATTGGTTAATCATTATTATATTATGTTACAGGGAGTGTGAAGGAGACAGACTTTAAAAAATATGTTCTACTGGCTGCATATTCTAGTACTTCCATTTTGGAAGACAAGAAAACTTTTCCCTTCTTTTTGATGTGCTTGCTTTCTCTTTTATGTATTTTTTTTCCCAGTAGCTTTTTCTTTTTTCCCCCTTCTTTTGAAGCCTTGGCAATTGCCTTATGTTAACGAGGATGTGTGTAAATTAAAATACTGGTGTTTCTGCTGATATTAAAATCTCTCAAGTATCATGTCCTGATCACATATTTAGAATTAAAAGAAATCTTGGAGCTTGTGGTGTAAGATTATATTTAATAACAATATTTTAATTTGTCTTGAAATTATTCCAGAAATATCTCTTAGTTTGTATCTGTTCACTTTGAATCTAGATAAGTTCAATACACGGAGTAAATCTTGTCTCACTTTTAATCTGTATTTGTCTATTTGAATACATCTAATTTATGCATTTCCACAAGTATGTTGGCTCAATACGTATTGAAAAGAAAATTAGGCTGAATTATATACTTAAACTTAGTAATATGTTATTTAATTTGCTTGTTTTCTCTTTTTATAGCTTGGTACTACAAAGGTTCAGTTTATAAAGCAAAGGATATCCTTCAGTCATAGTCCACTGGGTTTATCTACTTGTAAGTCAGCCCTTCTTCAGAACATAGGACACAATCATGCATACTTCCAAGTAAGCTAGAATTATTTTTAGCATATTTAACTTCTTGGGGTGAGGAGGAAGAAGGGGGTTCATTTTATCAGCTCATGTTGCAGTTTTTGTTCTCAGCTATTAGATACACTCAGAATCACCATGGTTGGAAAGGACCTCTGAGATCATGAGTCCAACCATCAACACAAAATACCCAATAAAAAAACCCCAACAACAACAACAGAAAACAAACAATCCCCCCCAGCCTCAGCCACTAAAGCATGCCCTGAAGTGTCACATCTACACACTTTGTGAATAACTCCAGGGATGGTGACTCAGTCACCTGCATGGGCAGGCTCTTCCAGGCCTGGCCACTCTTTCAGTGTAGAAATCCTTCCTAATATCCAATCTAAACCTCCCCTGATGCAACTTCACGCCATTTACTCTGGTCCTATTGTTACTTACTTGGGAGAAGTGACCAACACCCACCTCACTACAGCCTCCTTTCAGGTAGGTGTAGAGGGTGATGAGATCTCCCCTCAGCTTCCTTTTCTTCAGACTAAACAACCCCTGTTCCCTCATTATGACTTGTTCTCTAGACCCTTCACCAGCTTGCTTGCTCTGTAGCACCTCAATGCTCTTATAGTGAGGGGCCCAGAACTGAACACAGTACTCGAGGTGCAGCCTCATCAGTGCCAAACACAGGGAGACAATCACAGCCCTACTCCTCCTGGTCACACTACTCCTGATGCAGGCAAGGATGCTGTTGGCCTTCTTGGCACCTGAGCTCACTGCTGGCTCATATTTAGTGCAGGTCTCAACCAGCATCACCAGCTCCTTTTCTGCTGCATAGCTTTCCAGCCACTCTTCCCAAAGTCTGTAGTATTGCTTGGTGTTGTTGTGACCAAAATGTGGGACCTGGCACTTGGCCTTACTGAATCTTATACAATTGGCCTCAGCCCATCGACCCAGACTGTCCAGGTCCCTCTGGATCTGTACAGCCTTTCCACCCTTAAGCAGATCAACACTCCCACCTGTTTTGGTGTCATCTGCAACATTACTGAGGGTGCACTCAATCCCCTCATCCAGATCATTGATAAAGATACTGAACAAGACTGGCCCCAGAACTGAGTCCTGTGGAACACCGTTTTTAACTGCCCACCAATGAGATTTTGCTCAGTTTACCACAACTTTCTGGGCATGGCTATCCAGCCAGTTTTTTACCCAGTGAATAGTACACTTGTCTATGCCATAATTTGCGGGCTTCTCCAGGAGAATGGTAGGCTACACATCTACTTAAGTTTTTGTCTGTTTTTCTGAAGACACAAGATTTGTGTGAATAAGAATTCTGTCCCTCTGTCAAATTTGGATTGATGTAGAGATGTACCCACAGACAAGCAATGTGGTAATGGCCTAAAAAGATTCCAGAAGTTTAATGAGAGCCAGTGCTGAGGGTAGAACCCCCGTACTGGTGTAACCTATGAAAAAGCAGTTACAGCTTGGTTGCTTTTTTATTTTGAGACAAACTGTCTAATAATCCTATTCATACTAGCTGCCCAGTAAGTGTATGCATAGACTCAGACCAGTCACAGCAAATGCTATTACTTTGCTGGACTAACATCTGAGAGGAGCATAGGCAGTATTATGACTTGGGTAAGAGGTGAGTTTGATGTCACAGTGAGTAAAGACATAATAAGTGAATTAGTAGGAAACCTATCTTCATTAGTTATCCTGTTCACAAAATAATTTGCTGTATTTTTTTAGTGAAGCAAAATATTTTCATTAAAATCTTCAATTTTTGTTAGTATATTACTATAGCATTAAGAAAATTCCTTAATTTATTTTTATTAATGTCCTATTTTTCTTTATCAACTGAGCATTGTAAGAATGAGTATTACTAACATACTTTTTGAGAATGGGCCTGAAAGAGCAAAATTGACATAATCAGTAAGACAAAGAAAGAAACATACCCAACTTTTTACGTCTTCACAATTACTCTTAAACCAAGAAAAGTTTCATTGGTCTCTATAGTTTTCACTTGCATATCTATACTTCAAAAAGTTAAGTGTTTGGAGGCCATTAGAAAAAACAAATTAAATTTCATCCTTGCTAATAATTGTGAGTAAACTGAATATTTACTCCCAGTATAATTACAGAACAGTACTAGTATCCCATGTTGTGTTTTCTTACTGTGAATGTCAAAAAAGAAGTGATGAGTTTATCTGGGACTGAAAAAAATGTATTGTAGAATAGTCTGGAGACTTGCTAGATAACAAGTTTAAACTTTAATAACTTCATGAAAACAATCCAAAAGCTAGAATGTGAAATATCCAGCAGGAGTGCTAAATTATATAGTAGATGTATTTTATATACATAGTAGAAACTGGCTGTCGTTGTGTTTGGGAATCTGTTACTTTATTTTGTTTACCTGTATTTTTGCCTCAAGCTTCTAAGTCCAAGTTACTAGTAAGTAATACAAAGTTTCTCCTTAGAAGAATACAAAATCTTCATTATAGATATACTGATATTTTAAAAAAGAAACCAAAACACCTCCCCTCCACATACACCTGTTTTAGTATTATTAATGTTTCATGTTTGTGTTTGAAGGTTCTTGACTCAAACCCATTGCCTGGAATGCTGATCACCCCTTCGGAAGGGGTGGTACCTGTGGGAGGCCACGCTGATCTCAAAATCTGTTTTACTCCGAATGCAAAAATGCGTTTTGATACAAAAGTGGAGGTATTTAAAACTGGAAGAACTTCTCTTTTTAGTGCTATATTGTGTGTTTATGTGTGTGTCCATCCAAACATGTTTTGAATTTTATCACTTGTGTTCTAATGCTTCTTAAGAAAAAAATAAAAAAGAGCGAACGAAAGAAAAAACTTCTTGCAGCATTTGATAGCTGTTATATCCTATTCTGGTATTTTTTGTCTCAGTCCTGATCTGAAGCATCAAAATAGCCTCTGATTCAGATTATACCATTGGCAAGCTGTTGAAATGAGTATGGGATTCTCTTCAGAATGTTGTATAGGTAGATCTGCAGTTTTTATGATCTATAGAGGAGCAGGACTGGAAAGTGCAGTGTCTTTAATTTCTTGACTTCTTTTTGTGGTTGTCTCAGAGATTAATTAAATAGTAGATTTGATTTGATAATAGGAGTGCAATAAACATCTAATCCTGTTTTTCCTGTGTACTTGCTTCCTGAACTTTTCCTTGGTCAGGTAAGTGCACATGGGAAAAAGGATGCTATCATGGGGCTGATACTTTCTACCTTTTCTGATTCTAATTCTGGATTGTCCATCTTCTGTGGTTGCATATATTATGCTTACTAAATCTAGTGTCCATTTCTTTTATCCTCTTAAACAGATTAAACATAGCTCAGAACAGTAGTATCTACTTTGTACCAGCAACCCTGTCAGACAATTTGTGTTGTGGTATACTTTCCAGTCCTCACAACCACTGTGATCTAACCCATGCACCCAGACTTCTCCTGCTGCAGAAAACTATTAATTCTAGTGATACAGCATCCTGGAAAAATACTCTGTCTGCAGACTGTCGTTTCTAAAGCTTTTTTTTTTGTTTGTTTGTTTTCATTAACAACTTTGACTATCTCTGTACGCCAAAGAGGCATCATTGGTTCTTTGAAGCCCAGTCTCACTGGCATCTGTACATACATGTTCTAGAAAATGAAGGCATTCTCTTTACTTCTTTATTTTTCCATAACAAAATATACTATAAGGGCAGAGTTATTTTCATATATTCCTGACAAGTTGTACTGAATGTCTCTCTCTACACTGAATCTCTGGGGTAGATCGGCTGTGTGTTGTTTTTTTTTCTTTAATAAAAACCTCACCTTTTTCATGTAATTGTGACAGATTTGGTGAGATGTTAAAATGACCTTGTCAACAATCACACTGTCTTCCATTCACTTAGGTAGCAGTACGAAATTCAGAAGTACTAGAGCTTAGGATCGCTGGATTTGTAGAGGTCCCTGAAATAAACATTGATGTGGTGAGTATGAAGAAATTGTAACAATTGGTAAGACTGGTAGTGTTTCCTTTATCTAGGTGTCAAAGTGGCTTATCCCTACTTCGTATTTTTAATTTTTTACTGGATTAACTTCCAGATAAAATTGTCAAAGAGAAGAACTTAGGAAGAGGAATTAAAAACTAAATCTACATATGAAAGTTGCACTAAATGACAGCTGACAGCTTTAGCTTTTTAACTTTACCATCTGGGAAAAGTGTGTTGAAAGGGAGAGGATTTCTTTAAGGAAGTTATTGAAAAAAAATGCAATAAGGGTAAAGGAGTCCACTGTTCTGTTTACTGAATGATGAAAAATTTCCTGATAGTGTAACTGGACTTAAGTATTGAATTCTAAGATGTTGCAGTTTATGATCTGGAAAGATTTTCAAGATAAGGCTTATACAAGATAATTGGTTAACCAAGACTGTTTCTGTGTTAAAAATTCTTAGTCTGAACAATTTTATTATTTTTTTTTTTCACATCTATTCAGTTAGAAACTTCACTGTGCTTTGACTTTTTTTTTTCTTTAAACTTACAGGAACTACTTGACTTTGATGGTGTTTATGTTGGTTCTATAAAATCAATTCCCTTTTTGCTGCATAACAAAGGACAATCATGCACCAGAGTAGAGTTTGATTTTTCTAAGTATAAGGATTTTAAGTTGAATGTTAACGACCGTTCAGGTATTTGCCTTTCCTATATTGGAATTTTCACTAAATAAAGAATGGCTAACTCTAACAGAAAATCTGTCAGACTACTTCTGGTATCCAGACTTTCTGATTTAAATAAACCTAAAGCAATTAGTTTAGAAGTATTACTTAACATAAATTAAGAGGAGACATTTTGGTTTGCTTGTAAAATGGCATTTACTACAAATGTCTAGTTGCCCGTAAGTTAACTTTTTTTTTCTTTTTTTTCCTATAGTTGCCAAGGTATGTTAAAAAAGAAAAAAAATTTGAATACCCTCTCACCAGTCAAAACAAAATAACAAAAAACAATTTAAAAAAAACAGCCAAGGAAAGCCTAATAACTCTACTCATTTCCTCTTCATGGACTTTTAACCACTGTTTTGACAATGGTTATCCTTTGGTTAATTTACCATCAGTATAAGGGGTCATGACTTCTCTTTTTCCTGATGGTACAGAATGCCTGCAGGTTAACAATGGGACCTCTGTTCTGCATAATGGCTAATATGGAATGATATTGGGGCAAAATATGGAATTAGATTGCTATTATTTGTTCTTTGATACACCTAACACAGATTTTTATCCTTCATTCATTGTTTCTCATCCCTTTTCTCATTCAGTCCTGACAACTGCTTTGCTGTTCCAACATCTTTATTTATAAGAGAATTTTTAAGCTATGCGTGTATGGGCTCTTATCCCTGCAAGCTCAGGAAACTAGGGCTCTCTCTTTTGCAAGATAGTATTATATTATTTAGTTGTAGTCTTTATATGGAGCTATTTGTGGATGATGATAAAAAATGAACTGACAACACCAAGGGTGTTTTGCAATTGACTCCTTGCACATGATTTCTAGATCAGAGTTTGTGCTTGAAACAATTAATATAACATCCAGTCAGGTCCATTACTGTTCAAACGGTGAACACTGAATGAATACTGATCCTGGTGTTTCAGGATAAATACTGAGGTCAGAGGAATTTTGCTTTTTTTGTTGGATGTGAAAGTCTGAAAAATGAAGCAAGCCTTATTGTAGTGTAGATTATGCTTAAAAGTCATTTAGAGAAAAGGTTTCAGCCAACTGATTTTCTCTCTGTGATGTTAGTTTTCATTATTTAGTCAACTATTTTTGCTTAATGCTTTTCTTAAAAAAAAAAAAAAGACAATTAGATGTTTTCCTGAAATATTGTGTTCTCCTAAATCAGTAACTTTAATTAAAGTTGCTGGTGATTAACAGTTCTCAAAATCAACTCAGGAATCCTTATGAGAAATATTACATAAATTTGTAAATTTATGAGGCATGTTGACCATACAAATACATAGATATGTTGCATTCAACTATTAAAAATTGACATTTAGTGTAGTACTATCTGTAATTTGATTCTGAATTTTGTTTGACAGTGCTTGACTGGTGTTCTTCAAAGCCTTATTTGTATTCAGTTAACTTAATGGGAAAGTCAGCTTTGCAATGCTTCTTGTCCTTCATGCCAAAAGAGGTAGGTTAACGGGGCAGTGGTGACTATGCTAAATTAAAATAATGGTCTGTGATATTTCTATGGTGAAAGAAGACAGACATTGTGGATTCATATATTAGTGTCTGTCATAGTTCTATAAAAATAATCCATTCTTAAGAAAACAAGTTCTGAAATAACCTTCATATAACTTTTGCTGCTTTACTAGAATGTTTGCGTACACAAAACCCCCACACTTTCTCAATGACTTAAACATGGAAGTGGTATAAACTTAAATTGAAATGGCATTCCTTAAATGATTCAACAAACTGGAAGCCATTTTCTTTTTGCAGCTATTCATCCTTTAACTCTTAGATGACGGAGGGACTGCAAAATTTGAGTTTTATGTGTCATAAAGATTGGCAAAGTTGCTTTCTGTTTGAGCTATTAGAGACAAATAAATTGAAGATATGACACTTTATGGGTTAGTTTTAGATCAAGAAAACAGCAATTTATTTGCAGTAGGTGACAATAGAGAGTGCTATAGCAAATTTTAAATTAAACCTATTGAATAGCACTTTAGAAATGGAGGGTTTGGGGTTTGCACGTATTTAGAGAACAATGAAATTAAAGAAAACTTAATCTTTGATATTATGAACCAGCTTCAGAACAAGCAGCTGGGGATCACTTCTACAGTACATAAACCTGTTGCATTAGCTGCATTTTTACCTTAAAATATATATAAGAAAAAAAACTGTCAGAGACAATGCATCGTGGAAGGGTCAAAAATATTCTTTTTCACCCCCCCTTTCCCCCTTGCTCTCCTTCCACTGTTTCCCAGCACTTTCGTTTTTGATTAAAAGGGAATTCTATAGCTCAAAGCATCATTCAAATAATTTTTGCATATTATGGGCTGTGTCTGGTAACACTTATTTTCTTCCTATTATAGCTGTCAGCTTAGATTCTGTATACACATGGAAGCTATTGTGAAATGATCAATGGTGCGAATTTATAGCACATTCACTGCGCTGAGATAATTTTTGCTGACAGGACATGACTCAATAGATTCAGAAAAACTGACTTATTTAAAATGAAATTAATTTCCTCCTATGGCATGGTAGCCCTTGAGGTTAGAAGAGAAGCAATAGATGTTGTGTCTTTAAGTATCTTGACAATGTCTGATGCAACATTCTTGTAAGTGGGATAGTCACATTTAGATTAAATACAGTGTTAGAAACATGTAATTGTTCGGAAAATGGTACATATGGAAGATTACTAGTGACATATTGTCAAACTGGAGACAAATGAAGTAAGAAAAAACGCTGACATTTTCATTTAGGTAGGAAAGGTCAATAATAGAAATACAAGACTAGATAATGCTGTTGCAGTAATCTATGTGCATGATGTTGTAGACTACAAACTGAACAAAAATTAAGAGTAGAGGCAGACACCATACTGACTTATATAAATAGGAATAATGTTAGTAAACTGAGTAAAATTATTATTCTGATCAGTGCTGATAACAATTTTTTACTTCAGCATCTATACAGAAAGTACAGTTAGGAGTTCTATAAACTTATATTCTTACATTTGACATGATTTGTTTTCTGACTGCTCTTAAAAAACCCCACAAAAACAAACCTGTAAAGTATTGCATCCATTTAATACAGATTTCTCTATAGGGTTTTCTGCAATCATCCTCTTTTAATTTCCTAACTCTGAATCTAAGTGTTTTTTGAATCTTGAGAATAATTTTTGCCAGACAGAAAGAACAACGTCCTTCAGAAGTAAGGGAAAGAAGACATTTTAAGTAACCAACGAGTGCTGCTTTAATTCAATGTTTTTATTTCAGTTTCCCTTTCTCTCCATGTGCTTATGGTCATTCTGTCTCCCTTTCCCCTTCGTGCTGTGTAAGCTTGCTGTACAAGCTTTGCTTCCCTTCTGCTCCAAGTGTATCCCTGCCTGCCTGTCAGGGGCAGCATGCTTACTGTTAGGCAAGACATGCCCAAATACACTCGCCAATTACATCCCACTGGTGGTCACAAGTTAAGATCACTGAGAGTTAGTGCAGCAATGGTAGCTGGCTGTAACAGCAGAGAATAATGTTAAATGAAGTTAACTTCTAAAACTAAATGTGCTGCTCAATATGACATGACTAAAGGAAGCATCTGGAAGTATACATACCCCCCATGATGCTATAGCTTTTCTTTAATTTAACTCCTGCAAAGTACAATACCAATAAAAAGCGTAGTTCTGTAAAGAAAGTGCTCCATGGACTGGCACCTCTTACTGTGAGCAGAAATTCTCAGTAGTTACTGCTTCTTAAAACATTCCCCACTGGATCAGAGTTCATTATTGTTCTATCTCATCTAGATTTCTGTCTTTTCCCACCAGATTTCTTCCTTCCTTTTCCTGACTTTCCAGTCTTGAAAAAAAATCTTTTCTCTATATTGAGTTTCCCTTGTTCAGATTTCACAGTTGCAAGTGCTGTTTCCTGCCTCTGCACTTGACCAGCTGTTTCTCTGATTTCATCACCATTTCCTGGACAACTGCCTTATACCCAGCTTATCTTCCAGCTGCTACAAACCTTCTGTATCCCATGGCGTCACATTCTTTTCTGTCTGCCTTCTGGTTCTGCTAAAACTTCCTGCTGTTGTTGTAGTCATTACTGACAACACTACCCTATAAACCAACAAAAACTCACTATATTGATGTTACTGCCAAGAAAGTAGATACTAGAACTACGGAAAAATTAAAACAATTCAGAAGTGTTAATAAAAAAATACAAAAGCATGTAATAATTTTAAGATGCTTTAAAATTTTTATAAAAACTACTTCAATTATTAATGTGAGGTTTCAAGTAATTAAGTAGTGAATGCAATCTTGAATTCTCCTGCTAAAATTCAATTTGGCAATAGTTTTCCTTCTGTCTCACAAAGCTTAAAATCAAAACAAAATTAATATATGGGAACTCTGAATAGCTCCTACAATTCTGACTAAAACTACATACACCTAAAGACGCAATGAGTTCCATTAGCATGCTTATAAAAGAATATATATAAAAATATAATAATTGAGGTACATCTGCCAATATTCTAAGTGGTAAAATGAAGTTGATGCATTATAGATAAGGCTAAGATGCTGCTCAGAAGTGGCCTGGCTATGCCTTCCTGTTATTCTAGGACCTCAGAAGGTGCTAGATGTGACAGGGTTCTCCACCTCACTGGAGAGAGTTTAGCCTCAGTGTTCATTGGCTGTGAAGGTCAGAGCTGTAAGTGGAAACAGTATACACAAATATAACTAAAGATTTTAGGTTTTTTATTTACTGCAATATAAGGAGGTTTAACCAGCTGAAAGTCTGAGCTAGGCAGGGTTCTCACTTCAGAGCTGAATAGAAAAAAAATATTCTGGTAATTAAACATAAAAAGCAGCCTAACAAAACCAAATAAAAAACTCTATGACTGTCAGGCCAAGTAACAGGAAAAGGTTTTTCACCCAGAGGGTGGCTGAGGACTGGAACAAGCTCCCCAGAGAAGTGGTTACAGCACCAAGCCTGCCTGAGTTCAAGAAGTATTTGGATGATGCTTTCAGGCACATGGTGTGATTCTTGGGGTGTCCTATGCAGGGACAGGAGTTGGACTCGATGATCCCAATGGGTCCCTTCCAACTCAGCATATTCTATGATTCTATGACTCTATGATCTATTGTAACTCCCTCATCCCTAATAATACTATTTATTGATTGATTGCTAGCAGTGATTATTTTTGAACTGACTTTTAAATTGTACTGTCCAAGAAGAATAAAAACATGGTTTTTCTGACTGTGACTCTCTTTTTGCAAACTACTTGTCCAAGTTACAATGAGGAGCACCTTATTGCTTTACTTTTGTGCCAGGGAAATAGGAAGCACATAGTCACTTAAAATATTCACTCATCTTTGTTTCTCAGCTGCTACTGTTTTTCTCCAGGTGGATGATCCACCTGCTAGCAGCAGTGTCAGGCATGATTGGGTAAGGAAAGCAGGCAAAGCAAGGTGCAGGAGTGTACTGCTTCAAAATTATTTTTTTACCCTGATGCAAAATAAAAAATTCCACCATCTTGGAAAAAGACAAAATACACAGCTGTGTAATAATGAAGCTTATGAGGGCCTTTGATCGAGATAAATAGGGCACGTCACACCTGTCAGAGCTTATTACTTAAGCTTTTTGTAGAGAAGTGACAGGTGGTCTTGGGGTTGTTTTTTGGAATTTTTAATGATGCTTTTTTTTTTTTTAAATGAAACAACATAGTTCATGGTGTAATAAATTAATTCTATGGAAAACCTGCAGCTGTGGAATTACAGAGTATTGTTAGTGCATCGTTTCTGACCATATACATGGGAGAGATTTAGTTTTATTTTACTGTTTTGAACAATGACTTTGAACATTAGTTACATTATTCACTATGGAAAGCTGCTTATCTGTGATATAAAGATGGGGAAATTGGGCTGCATCAAAGCATGGTTTAGGGAAAAACTCATGATAAATCTGAGGGGAGGTTGAGAATGTATATTGTATATAGTTGCAGGACATTTTTTTATATTTTCATAGAATCTTAGGGGCTGGAAGGGACCTCGAAAGATCATCTAGTCCAACTCCCCTGCCAGAGCAGGGTCACCTAGAGTACATCACACAGGATTGCTGGAGTAGAATAACCTAGAGCACTTTACACAGGACTGTATCCAGTCAGGTTTTGAATATCTCCAGAGATGGACACTCCACAACCTCCCAGGGCGGTGTGTTCCAGTGCTCCATCACCCTCACTGTAAAGAAGCTTTTTCTCACATTTAAATGGAGCTTCCTATGTTCTGACTTGTAGCCATTGCCCCTCGTTCTGACACTTTTATTTGTTTAGCAATTCTAGCAAAAATTGGGAGGTATTATAAAATGCCATCAAAATAAAAGTTTTCAGGAATATCAGTTTTATTTTAAGAATTTTTATCTTTGGCAGCAGCCTACTTTGGCAGCATATCTTTTCTGGCATCCTATGGAGGTGTTTTATGTGAAAACGTAACAAAAACTCTTATTTCACACGACTGGTCATTTTTAAGCTTTGAAGTATTTGAGTTACTAAGACTTCCAATTTGTAGATGATGCCTCCTTTCCAATTGGTGTGCATAATTAGTGTAAATCAAATAGGGAAAATATTTCTTATATTGATATAAACAACTTTTAGTGTGCAAAAGTGCTCTCTAGACTGCTTGCTTCCTGGCCCTCTCTGTATTCTCTGGTTTATGAAGCTAAATGCAGCTTCAGAAAACATCTCAATAGATAAATAACTGTAATTATTATTTAAGATTATTTCATTATTTATTAAAGATTATTTAAAAAGCAACTGCAAATCCAGTAATAGTATAGGGATTATTTTTTTAGTATTGTCATTAATTTTTTTTAAACATATAATCTTACCATAGAATTTTTCCATTATGGAGTTTTAATAATTAAAAAAAGTAATATTTTTTCTTAAAATATGTATGAAGATAAAAATAATGCTTGCACTTACAAAGGAAATACTAAAAAATGAAACTAAGTTTTAATTCTGTTTCAGTAATATGTGTATGTGTGTGCATGTGAATATGAATTCTAGGTATACAGAATTTTTGAAGATGTTTTCATTTGTGGTGCAAGTTAGTTAATGGGCAATTAATGAGGCAAAGATACATATGAATGAAGCAAAAGGTCTATGATTTATTCTAATTTATGTAAATACATTCCTATGAGTTGTATCAGCTCTGAAATCGCACCATTGTACTTAAAAGTAAATATAAGTTTTCAATGAACATCATGTCTTATGTGCAGTGAATTAGGTGAGTGTTTTGAACACATTTGGGTTTGTTTGCCAGCTCTTGGGAAATGAAACTCTTGATGATAGTAAGACTAAACTGGTGGTGGAGATGAAAACCAAATTCTGAGTAGTTACTTTGGGATGCAGATAAAGAGATTCCACCTTTTGTTGTCTTAACTGAACGTGCTAGTGCTAGACTGTAGTCTTGCACAGCCAGTGATATAATGATACCTATTACAGACTAAGCATTTTAATCTTACCAAATGTTAAAAAATTAGTGGTAATATATTGTGACATACATCACACCTGCTAGAGATTAAAAGGATTTGCTAGTTCACTTTTTTACTGCATTTCTGGGTAATGTATTTCAAATGTTAGAATTGTAAGGAAGTATCCAAGGGTGGGAGGTATCTCACAACCTGAGATGTGCACTGAGTCATTCAGTCATCTTCTCTCTGTTCACCTTGCAGTGATGAATAATTTGGTTATTTATGCAGCATTTTGCATATTACACTTCTGAAGGTGTATGCTGGGTACCCATACCCAATACAGTAAACTTCTCATGCAGCTGAAGGAGTGTGACAAAATCTTTGGATTGCGTCTGTGTTGTGACAGTTGTAAGAGATGCTTAACTTAGACACTCCTGCAGTTTTTATTTATTTATATTTGTCTCTGGTATTGGTTCACTTTGCATATGCACTGTCTTATGGAAGTATTTTAACAGCTATCAAGGTTGCCAAATAACTGTGTGTTCAGCTTTATTCTTTCAACCTTCTCTTATGTTTGTGTTTTGGTTTTTTTTAATTAAAAGCTTTTTTTAAAAAGATTTCACAGTCTTAAAATGCTATGCTTATTAGTATCTACCATGAGGAATGGTAGTAATTTGTTTCTCTAAAACTGTAAGGACCTGCTGTTGTTAGTGACCTAAAATAATGTATTTCACACATGCTTTGAAGTGAAAGGAACATCTAACACTGTGAAGAAAAGATTCTTTTCAGTCTAATTTTTAATTATGTAATTTTATGCCACAAGAGCCTATTTTGAAGATGTAATTTAATGTAGGTAACTTGAGATACTAAAAATAGAGGAGTATGTAAATCAAATCAGGAGACTTTTACTCAGTCTTTTTTTTATGGCACCCCTCAAGCATTGCTTACTAAAATATCTTAAAGTGCATTTGCCATGCTAATTTTGAAAAGCACAATTCTGTGTTATAAAATCATTATCAGATCAAAGTATCAGTATAAATCAGAGGACTGTAATAATCTGACTAGAAAAACATGCCCTCATCTCAGGCTTTCTTCTTGCTATGCACAAATAAATAAAATGCTCCACAGTGCTCAGCACACATCTTGCTCACCAGGAGCTCATAATTGTGTGTTATAAACCCTGCTGGAACTCCAAACAGTGTAAGTGCTACATACTTCCTTCTCATTATCTAAGCTCAGTGTTGCTTCTGTTACAGATGGGTATGTGCCTCATTTCCTAGCTTGGGACAATTTTTTTTTTTTCTTACTTACATGTGGTAGTGAGTAGAATATATAAATATCAAAGTGAAGCACAATGTGCTATTTTCTGCAGTTTTTGAAAGATTTTAAATTACTTGTAACTTCTTTTATATATCTGGTTTTACTGCAAATCTTAAGCAGCATACAGACTTTATTGGCCAGAGTCCTTTCTGGAGATTTCATTGCTTTTCAAGGTGAAAACAAAACTGTGGCATGTGAAAGACTCCAACAGTGGTTTCAGTGTGGTAGTTTTGTTTTTTGTCTTCTGATATCTTTGTAACCTCATACCTTCTTGTCTGGAGAACATTCTGCTCTAATGTGCCAGCTCATGGAGCAAGAGGGAAGATATACCTCCTTGAAAGTGTGCTGCAAAATAAATTTGGTCTCTTTATCCTGGAAAAAGAGGATTTTTTTATAAAGCATCCTACCTTTAAATTGGAAGCCACATTTACTTGGAGATGTGATTGTAGAGGTAAAACTGGGAACAAAATCACTGGAATTTAGTCTCCTGGAATTCAGTGGGGTTCAGTTACAGAGATTTTAAGAATTAATTTATTTTTATTTTTTTTTGCTGAGATTTCTCAAGTTTAACTCATGCTCCACCTTGATCTTGGAGCCCATTTTGCTTATTCTAAGTATATCTTAAGAGCTGACCTTTTCTCTTCAGCTTTTGAGAAATTAAGAATATATGTGGCTTTGTTCCATCCTCTCTGCTTGCACTTAAGCATTTCAGCCACCATTCCAATCTTTTTCCACTCAGAGGGGCAGCTGGAAACGACACCACCACAGTGATTTGCCAGAAGCCTTAACTGTAGCTGTGCTGATAACCAATGCTTTTGGGCACACAGTTTTTAACTTCGTGGGGGAAAAATACCTGGCCTCTGCTTGCTTGAATGTCTGATACCGGATGCTCATAAATAGCCATCCCGTTAATATCGTGATATTGTTAATTTCAATATTTCTTCTGAAATAGAACCACTCAGATGGTTCAAGAAGTACCATTTCTTTGGGAAAGTGATTCACAATGTTATTTCTGTCCTTTAGGTGGCAGCATATGACTTCACTCTTCAACTTAGTACTCCTAGAACTGACTTCCCATTGACAGAGCCAAACCCTCCACCTGCAGCTTCTGCGAAACACGTCGTTGCTCCTCAGCTACAGGCGGTGACTGTGACTGTTCCATTTTGTAGAGTTAAAGCAGTTGGTAGGTAAATGAGGGTCTTAAGCAGATGGTGGATACTTATATTTGTAGTGATGGGTTTGGTTGTATTCTAATTGCAGATAATTACTACTTAACTGAAATTTGATAATTCTATAATTTGTAAATCTCTTGGACAATCACAAATTTTGATTTGTATTTTTAAATAAGTGCAACGCTGAAATTTCTATACATAATTGCAACATGCTGGGATTTTTTTTATGTAGCCATTTGCCTTATATAAAAGTTAGTTTACTAAAACATATTTTTTGTTTCTTCTCATTCATTAGTGTTTCTATACCTCACCATGCAGACCCCAGTATTTACAGCAGTTTGTCTGAAAATTATAGAAAAGTAGTATGTAATTTATTTATTTTTTAAATAATTTTTTTTAGTCTTACGTATACCTAGAGCTCTTAGGTTTCACAAGGTAAAATTCCTTTAAAATGCCTCTGACTGATCCTGATCCCATCTGAGAGAACTTTTGGTAATTTAGACCATTTGCTTCTGTTCGTTTTTTTTATGTGCAGAACTGCACTCTTCTGGCCTGTCAGAGTTTGCTCATGGCCAAAGTTACAGGCTGTTTGCCTGCAGCGAGAAATTGGTATCTCAAATGATTCTTCTGTGCTTCTTTTAGAAATAATTTGTGGTTCTCTTTAGTCACCTGTCTGATCCTTATAGTCATGTAGACCTACTCGTTGTGAATACATGAATCCACTAGCTTTCCTCATGTGTTTTTAGTATGTAGTCACTGTTTATGTGAGATGAGGAAACCTGGGGTGATATTTGTGTAATGTTTAAACATACTGAGAGCACTGAAGGAGGTTTGTCCAATTCAGTGCCTGATGTGAAGTAAAAGCAACTTCAATTTAGTAGATTTTATCTGTGTTTCTGGGTTATGTGGGTTTTTTTGTGGGTTTTATTTATTTATTCCTTTATAGGGCTTTAACTTAAGCCTTACTTTTGAGATCTTTTAAGATATCAAAGGAATCTGAGAGACCTCCTTTAGATCCTATGATGGAATTAATAGTGAACACTTCTAAATGTATTTAGTTTAAGAACATGTAGACTAAACATAAATGTGCATATGCATATGAGATTAGTAGAAAGCACATCTCTTAGTAAACAATCATTAATAAGTGACAAAGTTCTAGTGCAGAAGTGATTTATGTAATATTTATTTCCTTTTCCCTTTCTCTGTGAAATAAAGGAACAATACAATCAGTAAGTCTCACTAATAAATTACAGTATTTTCTAAATTTAGCACAAATTTGTATTTCTGAGAGATAGAATTTCTTTACAGTACCAGTATAGGTCAACAACAAGTAACCATAGTATTCAAGAGAATAAAACTTTCAGTTCTAAAGAACAGTTGAGAAAATAAAGTGTGGCTTTTATTTAAATTTGAGTATTAGAATGACATTCTTACTAGTAATTTTGCTGGGCTGGGAGAAGGGAGAGAAGTCTGAAGAAGTGTCTTGAGTTCTTGGTATTTCACATAATCATACAGATGCAGACAACAAGCCAAGCTATTTTTACTGTTACAAAAGGACTCGATAATCTTATCACATCCTGATAAGTTAAAAGTTATGTATTTTATGGTTTCATTATTTCAGATTATCACTTTAAAAACTCAAAGTGGGTAAGATGCATCTTGCAAGTTGTAAGTTTTGATTTGATGAGTATGCCTAATTCTCACTAGTGTGTGCTTTATGGTACATTTGTTTTCCACTCATATTTTATTTGTATTTGTGGCTGACTGGGATTCAGACTGCAGAGGACAGTGCAGTTGGCAGTTAAATCAATAGCTTATATCAGATGTTTGTACTTGGGATAGTTCACCCTGAGAAAAAAAATCATAATAATCTCGGAGCAGTCAACCCAGTCTTTTAATTTCAGAGCAGTCAATATGTTTTCAATCCATCATGGATCTTTTTTGAGTTGTTTTAGAAACAAAGTCTGTAGACTGTTTCAGCATCTGAGAAGGAAACCAGGTCTCTTATTTAAATACCAGTCAGACTTTTTTTTGGAGACTGCTTATTTGTATGTAAGAAAGCACTGAAAGAGAAAAAAAAACAACCAACCACAAAACAGAAAGCTCAACTGGAAAATACACGAGCCCTATCTCAGCCAGGCACAAAGGGAGAGGACATATTGTCAATGTAATAACCTCATGTGAGCTGATATTTTTACTAGTCAATATCACAGTTTATTTTGTGAGGTAGATAATTTCCTTCACTTTCCCTCTGAGTCTTCCAGGTATGCTGTGTTTTCCTCGTACAGGAAGTTTCTCTGGGTGACATAGTTGCATATTCATGGAGCAGTCCAACAGATGAGGTTCCAACTTCGAAACAATAACGATTTATAGAGTTTATATGCTTGTGCTTTAGGGACATACAGATAGTATTGTTGTTTACATAATGTGACATATGTGATTGGGAAATCCTTTGAGCTTTTTATGGGGAGAAGAGACTTGATCAACCCACTTTGTCACTGAATGTGAAACAAACTTGCAGATTTTAAAAAAAGGATAATGTATGCTTGCCAGGTTAATTTCCATTGTTTAATCTACTGAAGAAACAAAATGAGACTGTCGGAAAGTAAACCTTTGTTTTTCTAAATTCTCACTTTAAACTTCATCCTTTGTGATGGTGTCTTTTTCCAGCTATAAGAAAGAAAGAGAAATAATGTTTTCTATAAAATTTTAACGTATTTTCTGATTATTACTGTTACAAATACAAATGCATTAATCTGCAATAGGAAGATCATGTCACTCTTTGTTTATAGTCTTTTAATTTAAATGTGACTAACAGGTCATAAAATGACAGAAAGTTAAATTGCAGTAATTATCTGTATTGTATGGAAACAACAGAAAGAAAATACAGTGTTTCAAACCAGGGGAGAAATATTTCTGCTAAACACGTGAAGACACAATGGTGTAATGAGGGGTCTGTGAGGAAATATTTGTCAAAATATTGGTGCATTAAACATCTTAACTTATTTTTTCCAACAGTACTTAACTCACCATTGGAGTTCTCCTCAATGGAACTTAAATTTACACAATATTCAAGTGGCGCACATTTCAGCATTGCTGGTGGAAGTGTGAATTCTCAGGTATCTAGTCACAAGAGTTTTTATAGTTATTCTTGGCTATAGTTCTAATTGATCTGACTGGGAAAATAACATAGTTTTGGAATTAAAAGTTCATTCATGAGCCAAATACATGGTTTAAATATGTAGAAATTTTCCATGGTTTTGTTGCTCAGTTTTTGATTCAGTAGAATTTTTTCCAAAACTCAAAATTGGACTTTTTAAAAAATTTCTGACATATAGGAAAGTGTGGCTACCATGACAAATTAACCAGGAGTTGAGTAAGAAATAGCTTACTTACAGAGATTTTCTGCCTTTGCCTATACTTGTACTAGTAAATGAGACAGTGGCAGTGCAAGAATTGATGTGCTGTGATGATCCATACAGTTAAATTGCTCTCCCAATACACTGTTACTAATCTATGCCAACTCTCTTTTGGAACATAGAGAATTTGACTGTATGACTGCAAAATATATCATAACATGATTTATTGTTTCTAAATTCACAAAGACTTTGGAGACTATAAAAAACAATTTTTGGCATTGATAAAAACATCTGAAACTCGTTTTCAACTTTAGAAAACAATAATAATACAAAGTCAAGACCTTTTCCTAGCTATAGAGGTATTAGGAGTTGAAAGTGTGACTCTGAGGTAAAGGAGTGGGTTATTTTTTTGTTTCCACAGTCCCCTTATTGAACTGAAAGAATGGGTTTTGAAAACCTATTCTGAACTTCTTCCTTTTTCAGCATGTCCACCTGAAACTCTAGATGCCATGAGCAATGTGTTTAGTGATGGCTGTGCTTTATTTCTATCAGGAAGAACTGATTTATGTTTGTCTAAGCACTCTCACCATGATAATTTGATCTATTTACCTCACGTAAGTGAGATTTTTCCACTCTGGAAAGAAGTTATTGGTCTTTGTCAAGGTGGCAAATGACTGGGAAGCATCTAGTCTATGCTGGTAGGCATACCCATCTTCTCTCCTTATAGATACAGGAAACTGGATTCTGCATTGCTTTTCTAGTGCTTTTTTGCTTTCATGCTGATCCTATTGCTTAGGACAGAGTAAAGTGAAAAGCATCATTTTCTCTTTCATCATGTCCTCCTTTCTCTGTAAATATTTACAGGAGCTTGACCTGAAGAATATCTCAAGGGACCAGTTGACATGGAAATTGAATTGTGATGAAGCAGATAAAAATAAAGAAGACAATGTTTTTAAATTTAGTATGGAGTCTGGATTCCTTAATCCAGGACAAACAATCAGTATTGCTGTATTCTTCTGTCCTTGTAAGTAGTTTTCTGAAATCTACAGATTGTTTGGCCAAGATACCATTTTCACATATTTGTTTACATTACTTTTTACAATTAATCATAATTGTCTCTTGTTTTGATTAACTTTCAGTTAACATGACTGAATAGCAAACTATAATGCCGAAAGAAAGGTTTGTGGTTTTGGGAAAGTAAGACAGCTGCAGGTCAAACACAAAGTATGGAACCACATGATAGCAGTATTTGAAAAGTCTGGTTTGCACCTATAAAGCCTCAAGTTTTGTACATCTAAAGCTAGGATAGCTGAATTGCTTTCTGTACTACTCCTTCATACGCATTTTGCTTGACTGACTTAGATACGAAAGCTTTCCAAGAGTACTTGGAATGTGTGTGAACATTTCCCTAAATAGCCATATTTTAGATAAGAAGGGAAATTTACTTCCTCAATGAGATACAAAATCTCTTAGCCATGGTATTTTCTGAGTAGTCTTCTCAGGCAACCAGATCCTAAGTAAAAAACATAGAATAGATTTCTAACAAAACTTGGGCGTGTGCAGAAAGATGGTAATCAATCAAATACAAAAGAAGAGGAATGGTGGAACAAGAATATTAGAATTCTACCTCATTATCAGTCAAGTGTTTAGGG